TTAAAATGATGCCTGGGTCAATTATTTTGACCCCTATGCCAGCAGCCCAGGGCATATACAGATCTTCATTATAGAAACACATCTGAGCGCAGTTAAGATCTGTATTTATTTATTAAGAAGTATTAAAAATAGTGCTGAATTTATACAGTATGCGTTGCTGACATTTTTTATCATCATCATTATATATTTTTTGTGCTCTTGCAAATGTAATTAATAATGCAATTTCTGGCCTGTGGCATGTTAATTATGGAAGTATGCACGCATGATGTGTGTGTGTGTGTGTGTTGATTGTATAATGCATAACCTTTGCTGATGTAAGGTCAGATTTGCATTAACAGCAAAACACAAATATGTTGTAATTAACTTCAAAGGCTGAACGCTTTTCTGCTCGTAATTTACACTCACGCTGCATTAGTAGCAAAAAAAAAAAACTAATTAAAATGAACTTTTATTTAATTTTATATGTATTTTCTGATGCAATAAGAATGGTAGATTATTTTTCTATTATTTTCAAATGATAAAGGACATGTTGGGACAGCTTTCCTGAGATTCACACTCTATACAGTTGAAGTCAGAATTATTAGCCCCTCGAATTATTAGCCCCTTGTTTATTTTTTTCCACAATTTTGTTTAACGGAGAGCAGATTTTTCAACACATTTCTAAACAATATTTTTAATAACTCATTTCTAAAAGCTGATTTATTTTATCTTTGCCATGATGACAGTAAATAATTAGACTAGATATTCTTCAAGACACTTCTATACAGCTTAAAGTGACATTTAAAGACTTAACTAGGTTAATTAGGGTAACTAGGCAGGTTAGGGTAATTAGGCAATGATGGTTTGTTCTGGAGACTATCAAAAAATATTTATATTGTAATATATTTTTGTTATTATTATTATATTATTATTATTATTTTTATTATTATCATCATTATTATTATTATTATTATTATTATATCATCATTATTTTATTATTTATTTTATTATTAGTATTATTTATTTATTTATTTTTTTGTGAATTTGAATGTACAAAAAATCCTGAATTTAGTCCCGATGCAGCTCCTCAAGTTTAATATCTGACAGTATTTAATAACTATATTTTAAATCCTGTCTTCAGACTCTCAGTGTGTTTCTCTTGACCATCTCTCAGCGCTGCGTCTGCAGAAGATCAGCGTGTTGCACTTAATTGCGTAAATTAAGCTAATGCAATAAATAAATGTGCGAGTGCGAGCTCGGTGTTAATTAGCGTTCACATTATCCTCCACCAACCGGCCTGTGTCACAACACATCATCAGGCTGAACTTATCACACCACCAATTACAGCGAATAAAGTGAAGGCTGCAGTTCCTGATGCTAATTCATTTTCATCTGTGAAAAGGGCAGCGGGTCGTGTGAACGTGTAGATCTGCATAACCGTCAGATTGAGGGATTTATAAACAGATATTAACGTCAGATTTAACTTTAATCATCATGCAGGTTATGTCAATAGAATTCAAAATGATTGAGGATTTAGTCCCAATGTAGTAGCCGTGAATAATATATACAGCTGAAGTCAGAACTATTCACCCTACTGGGAAATTTGTAGAACAGTTTTGGCGCCATCTAGTGTCTGAATAATGCGCAGGTTAGTGTATACTCCATCAGCTTTTTCTTTCAGCTTAGTGTTTTTGACTGTTTGACGCCATCTAGTGTCTGAATAATGTGCAGGTTAGTGTATACTCCATCAGCTGTTTTAGACTGTTTGGCACCATCTAGTGTCTGAATAATGTGCAGGTTAGTGTATACTCCATCAGCTTTTTCTTTCAGCTTAGTGTTTTTGACTGTTTGACGCCATCTAGTGTCTGAATAATGCGCAGGTTAGTGTATACTCCATCAGCTTTTTCTTTCAGCTTAGTGTTTTTGACTGTTTGACGCCATCTAGTGTCTGAATAATGTGCAGGTTAGTGTATACTCTATCAGCTGTTTTAGACTTTTTGGCGACATCTAGTGTCTGAGTAACGCACTGGTTAGTGTATACTTCATCAGTTGTTTTAGACTGTCTCCATCTAGTGTCTGAATAATGCGCAGGTTAGTGTATACTCCATCAGCTGTTTCTGACTGTTTTTCTCCATCTAGTGTCTGAATAATGCGCAGGTTAGTATATACTCCATCAGCTGTTTCTGACTGTTTGTCTCCATCTAGTGTCTGAATAATGTGCAGGTTAGTGTATACTCCATCAGTTGTTTTAGACTGTTTTTCTCCATCTAGTGTCTGAATAATGCGCAGGTTAGTGTATACTCCATCAGCTGTTTCTGACTGTTTGTCTCCATCTAGTGTCTGAATAATGCGCAGGTTAGTGTATACTCCATCAGCTGTTTCTGACTGTTTTTCTTCATCTAGTGTCTGAATAATGCGCAGGTTAGTGTATACTCCATCAGCTGTTTCTGACTGTTTGTCTCCATCTAGTGTCTGAGTAACGCACTGGTTAGTGTATACTTCATCAGTTGTTTTAGACTGTTTGTCTTCATCTAGTGTCTGAATAATGCACAGGTTAGTGTATACTCCATCAGCTGTTTCTGACTGTTTGTCAACATCTTCTGTCTGAATAATGCACAGGTTAGTGTATACTCCATCAGCTGTTTCTGACTGTTTGTGTCCATCTAGTGTCTGAATAATGCGCAGGTTAGTGTATACTCCATCAGCTGTTTCTGACTGTTTTTCTTCATCTAGTGTCTGAATAATGCGCAGGTTAGTGTATACTCCATCAGCTGTTTCTGACTGTTTTTCTTCATCTAGTGTCTGAATAATGCGCAGGTTAGTGTATACTCCATCAGCTGTTTCTGACTGTTTTTCTTCATCTAGTGTCTGAATAATGCGCAGGTTAGTGTATACTCCATCAGCTGTTTCTGACTGTTTGTCTCCATCTAGTGTCTGAGTAACGCACTGGTTAGTGTATACTTCATCAGTTGTTTTAGACTGTTTGTCTTCATCTAGTGTCTGAATAATGCGCAGGTTAGTGTATACTCCATCAGCTGTTTCTGACTGTTTGTCAACATCTTCTGTCTGAATAATGCACAGGTTAGTGTATACTCCATCAGTTGTTTCTGACTGTTTGTCTCCATCTAGTGTCTGAATAATGCTCAGGTTAGTGTATACTCCATCAGCTGTTTCTGACTGTTTGTCTCCATCTAGTGTCTGAATAATACGCAGGTTAGTGTATACTCCATCAGCTGTTTCTGACTGTTTGTCTCCATCTAGTGTCTGAATAATGTGCAGGTTAGTGTATACTCCATCAGCTGTTTCTGACTGTTTTTCTCCATCTAGTGTCTGAATAATGCGCAGGTTAGTGTATACTCCATCAGCTGTTTCTGACTGTTTGTCAACATCTTGTGTCTGAATAATGCGCAGGTTTATTTCGCTCCACTGTTTGTCCACACGTGTAGCAGATTGACAATAAAGCTCAACTTGATTTACCTAGAGCTGCATTGTAGTAATGTCAGCTGAATCTCAGTGCTTTTGTGTGTGTGTTTTCTGCAGGTCTCCACAGAATGGAGCGAGAATGAGCAGAGCGCGGTCGAGAGTGAAGCATGAACTGGAGGCTCATTGAAGTCACTTACCTTCTGTTTATATGGGAGCATATAACAGTTCAGTCTTCCCGCCAGGAGCCCTCGGCCAATGAACAGCATGTCAGCAAGCAGTTTGATTGGCTCATCTCTGACCGAGGCCCTTTCCACCACTCCAAGGGCTACCTCTCCTTCATGGAGAGATTTCGACAAGGATTCACGACCCGGTATAAAATATATAGGTACGTGCAGTTCATTTATAGCATGCGATGTGCTGCTGAATCTTGCTTTTTTGTGTGTTCAAGCTTTTTATTTATGTTTTTGCTGGGAATACAGTGAACTTGATTTACCATAAATGCACATTACATTACATTATTTTTGTATAGAGTGCAATCTAATGCACCCTAATAATGTATTTTACATTACATTACATTAAATTCTGTGCAATGCAATGTGATGTGCATTTAAATAACAGATTGCAGTATGTATATGTTCAGGGGGATAATATAAGATAAGATAAAATAATTTTTCAGGGCTGGAAAACTAGTATACGTTATAGTATGATTTTCATATTGTCTTATTTTAGCTTTATATTGAACTTTAACGTTTATATAGCTACATGTATTGCTATATTAATAATTTCATCCACACTAATACATTGGGAAAAGGATTAGATTGTGATTCCAGTGTTGAAGCAGACTTTTGGGATGTTTGTTTG